CTCCTACCGGGAGGGACTCGAAATAGATCCTCGGAGAACATTTTTCCATAATTAGCTTTTCACTTCAAGTGAACTATGTGTAATGAATTCCATATCTCGAAACATTCTTCCCAGGCACGGTACTGGGCATGTCATGTAGCTGTTGGTGTCGAGCTGGAACCATCCAGGCAGCACGGTGTGGAGGTCAGGGGATTTGAGAGAGAGAGAGAGAGAGAGAGAGAGGGAAACGAGGGAAACATCTCTGGGAAACTAACTGGAAGTGTCCATCTTCCTCAGCAAGGCACACAGAGGCAGAGGAAACTTCCCCGCTGTGGCTGAGCTACCTGGACATGAGCTAAGAACGGCTGAAGGCAACCACCAGGGACTCAGGCGGCCATCCTCTGCCCTGTGTTCAAGGCTGTTCCTTGCCGCCTGTGGGAAGCTCCTGCCTCAACAGCTTGCCGGCGCCCGCATGAAAACGGCTAGCAGCAAACGCCTTGCAGAATTGAAGCGACGGCCTCTAAGCTGCGTCTGCTTTAGCTCTGACTCTACAATTACTTCTGCAATCCTCTCAGCTAATTGCTGGAGCTAAGAAACACCTCCCTTCCTTCTGGCACAGCTACAGTTCACCCACATTGGCTTCCTCCAAACCTTCCTTTCTCCACCTTCCGGCACCCTGTGCACAAAAGGCTTTTCTTCCCTCCTGTTTCGACAGGCTTTGAAGCCAGTGTTTCTCCCACCTCCTGCAGGCTCTGAGGAGGCTGTTAGTTTAAGGTGGGGTCTCACATTTGAATATGTCTCACATGTGAGCTGAGCCTTTTCCCAAGGAAACATTTCAGTTCCGGGGAGAAAAAGGCAACGTTGGCTGCTACGGTAATCAAAGTATGACCAGAGGAAAGAGTAGAAAAAAGTGACCTCCTCCGGCTGGCCCAGACTAGTCCTCTTCTCTTGCACCAAAGGAGGAGGCCTGACCGGTCCCCAGCCTTCCCTTCCAGGAGCGGATTCAGCATCCTTCCCGGCTGCGCTGGAAGGCACTTTGAAGGCCTCATCTGTTCACCACACAGTCCTCCCTTCCGAGCTATCCCCAAAGGCCACAGTGCCCTTGGCAGCATGCCACTAGGCCAGTGATGCACAGAATGACCCAGTGACTTTATTTCCTCCTGCGAACTATCAGGACCGAGTGTTGCTCCTTTGCCAACCTCAGTCTTTACAACCTGGAATTCTAGAGCACATCCTTGGAAGGTGGCCACTTCAAGAATGGAGTGAAGATATTAATAACCGATGTTTTGCAGGGAGAGCAAGAAAACGCAGACAAGAAAAGTGCAGCAGCGTGGCAGCACATGCCTGCTTGGCAGCGCCCGTCCTCCAACAGGATCCGGGGAAACTGAAGAGTGCCACGAATATCTTGTGCTGGCACCTGACACTGCAGAGGAGGGCGGGGCGGGAGGGAGCACGAGCTTGGCAGCCGAAGAGCCAGAATCAAGCCGTGCTCTGCTACCGGTCTGCCCAAGACCAAGGGTGCCTTGAGCCTCACAGTCAGATTTCCTCGCATGTCATCTGGAAACCATACCTCACCTTTCTACGGGGCCTCATGAAGATGAAATGAGGTCATGTAAATACCTGGCACATGGACAGTGGATAAATGCTACCTTTTACACATTCTTTATTAAAATGTTATTTTTGTAAAACCACGTGTCCAAGCAATGGGAGGTCAGTCAGGGTTGAACAGAGATGTGTTATTATGTCCTGGTAGGACAGGGAGGAACTTTTCCTGCATCTTATGAAACTCAGTCAGTGCCGCGTGTGGTGTGACTCCTAGTACATCACATTCTGGAAAAGGCAAATGAAGGGGAAGGACTAGGGATGAGAGAGGAATGCAGGCAAAGACAGAAGATTCGGGAGAGATGGTCAGATCACTGTTGGCTAAGGCTGCCGCAATGGCGGCTGACTGCTCTCACGTGTCTATTAAAGTCCATGGAGCACGCAACCCCAGGAGAGAACCCTCATGTCCACTGCAGATTCGGTTTGCTCAGGATACGTCCGTGGAAGCTCGTTAGTCAATGGCCTTCTCTGTGGAAGAAGGGAGAGTGGGGAGGTTTGGGAACCTGCGACGGACTTTCCGATTGTACTGTGAACCAAAAACAGCTGCATTTCAAGTTCAAGGTGGACTTTCAGAACTATTTTTGTATGGGTGCTCCCAGGTCTGGGCCGCTGAGTCATTCGGTCTCAGTTACTGGGTTTTGAAGTCTTTATCTTTACAAGGACCCAACCTTCTCTTCTGCTTTGATGCAGCATATTTTTTTTTCTCTAACAACAAAGTTATCCCCTCCAGTGATTCATGGGACTTCTTAGTTTTCTCTTAATTTTTGAAGTAAAAACAACTGTACTCAGAGGTGAAAATCCACGCATGAACCTTTAGACTTAATTTTTTTTAATCCCTCTATCTTATGTTCTCTTGGAAAAGCTGTGACGATATCATCTGGCAGGGAACCCTGTTGTCTACTTTAGAGTTGGCATTTAATCTACTGACTATCCAAGCTAATGTGGGGCCCAAACTGGTACTGTAAGTGTTGTAGTAGCACCCACAATCTTGCCTTGCTATATGCCACATACAGTCACAGATCCATACCCAATCAGTATCTTCAGACTCAAATCAGGTTAATGTTCTCAATTAGGATATAGCTAATTAAGAACAACCAACTCCCATGATTGCAAAGATTATACAATTAGACGACAAAGAGTTATTTCACTGATATCTTTAAATTGATATAATTGACATAACTAAAAAGTTTAGTTCTCCATAAATTTTGACTTTTAAAAAATACTTGGGATTGATTGATACATCATTGCCTAATTTAATCATGAAGACACATTCTTTTGGAGGGAGTGGTTTCTAAGTGGTATTCAGCCACTTGGTTTCCTGTGATTCTGGGGGCCCTCAGTCTGAGACACTTGGGGCATCAGTTCCCAGATATTCAGCCAACAGGGCCAGTGATTCTGTGTTAGACTACAAGAATGTGATGGTCCTGGGGCCCTGCAGGCCCAGGGACCCCCAGAGGTACCTGCTACTGCATAGGGATTCCCGGGCTGCAGCTGGCAATGCTAGGAGCCTAGACAGTGCTGTGGGTTGACTCAGCTTGGTCCAAGCAAGGGATGGATCTTAACTCCCGTGGGACCTCCTGGCCCCAAATCCACATCCCTTCAAAGACTAACCACATGAGACTTGAGATTTTCCCCCCAAAGTGGCAGTATAGTTGTGAAATGTTTTCTGTTCCATGGAGCACATATGACTGATTCATACATTACGAACCTGTTTGACTTTGCTAGCTGACTGATGTCAACTCCTTGTGTTGATAGTACCTCCCTCGAGAAGCCCATCTTCTTCTGAACCCCGTTGGCACTCTGTTTTCTGGTCTGGTCTCATTCTTTGCCTCTACACTAAAACCTTCTGCAGACACTGGCTGGGCCACTCCCTGGCCAGTTTCATTTCTGATTCATGACAAACCTTCAACAACGGCCACGAAAAGGAACTGAACGGTCCAGTCCGTTCAACTGACAGAAGATCCTCCTGCCTTTTTCGTGCTGGCCATTCCTCTGCAGCCTAGCTGGGCCGCAGACTGCCCATCCCACTGCGGTCACTGTCTCCTTACCCTGGGACTGACACCGGGAGGCAGAAGGCCGCCTGGAATGAGGACAGCGCCGGTCCGGGGCCAAAAGGGAGAAGGCCTAGTGACCGGCCTCCGTGTGGGCAGCGGGGAAAGCCCGCAGCAGAAGCCACCGGCCTGCAGGAGACTCGAGGCACTTGACCGCGGGCCATTTCAGTGTCCGGAAAGATGAATGACTTTTCAACTAGCTCCCAAAGAGAGGAGGAGGGAGCTGGACTCTCTTTCAAGGGAGAACTAAAGGAAGGGAGGAGGCTTTCAGCAGCGTATTAAGCCACTGGAAGCACAGAACTTCTTCTTGGGCATGGGCACGCTTGGAGGGCAGGGTGAGCCCCGAGCTGCCCGGGAAGGGAGGAGGGAGAGGGGCAGGACAAACCCTCAAACCAAACCAACAGTGCTCTCCCGGGGGCCAAGTAAGTGCTTCCACAGACCTCCTCCTCCTCCTTTTCTTCCTCCTCCTCCTCCTCCTCCTCCTCCGGAGCCCCCAGGTCAGCCCGGGCCTGCGAACAGTCTCTCCTCTGACCACGGATGCTCCAGCTCCGAGCCGCTTGGTTATTTTTCAGGAAGAGAATTAGACAAAAATAATACAAGTGGGAAATAAAGAGAATGACCTACTTTGCAGGGGGGAGAAAGGAACTCTGTGAGGCTCGGATCTAATTGAAGGGTGTGGGGTTGCATGCCCAAATAAGGCTCCAGGCGGGGAGGGTGAGCCAGGGCACCCCTGGGTCCGGGCCCCGCCCGAGCTGCCCACTGCCCACTCTCCCCGGGGAAGGGACCCTGCAGGCCCGCAGGAGGATGCCAAGCCCCCGCGCGGCGCGTCCCTTGCAGGGTGCAGGGCGAGGGGCTCGGGCGGCTGGACGCCCCCTCCCCCGGGCGGGGGTCGCGGGCCCGAGTGTCCGGGCAGGAGGCCTCCTACGCGAGTCGCGCAGAGGGGACGGGGAGGTCACGTCTGTGGGGAAAGTATGTAGGTCAGTGGAACATTCTCGGCGCGCGCGGGGGAGGGGAGGCCGAGCAGCCCCGCACGCCCCCCGTGCGTCCCGGCCCGAGCTCGCGGCGCGGGGGACACCGGCCGGCCGCTCTCGCAGGGGACAGGGTGGTCACGGCCGGGGACAGCGCGGGGGTCAGCGGGGGGCGCTGGGGGGCTCCGGACGCGGCTCCTCGGGGCCTCGGCCCGGCAACTTTCCCGGAACCTCGGCGGGCGCGTCCCGGGCGGGGGTCCCGGGGGGATGCGGGAGGAGGAGGAGGAGGGAGAGAGGGGGAGAGAGGAGGAGGAGGAGGAGGAGGGAGAGAGGAGGAGGAGGAGGAGGAGGGAGAGAGGAGGGGGAGGAGGGAGGGAGGGGGCGGCGGGAGGAGGGACGGGGTGGAGGCAGAGGCGGCCGCGCCATCCCCCGGGCTCCGCGCGCCGGGACTCGGACGCACGGGCGCGACCTCCCGCACGGGCGCGGGACCCCCGAGCGCGTCCCCCGCGGCCGAGCGCGCCCCCCGCGCCCGCGCCCCCGCGGCCCCCGCGCCCGCGGCCCCAGCGGCTCCCCGCGGCGGGGGCGCGTCCCTCCGGCCGCTCCCAGGTACGCGCGGGCCCGGGGTGGGGACCGGGAGGCAGGACGCGCCACCTGCGGGGGTCGCGGAGGCCGGGCTGGGGGTCGGGATGCGGCGCGAGCCGCCTGCGGGGCGTGGGGGGCGGCGGGGGCGGCCGCGGAGGTCGGGAGGGAGACGGGCCGTCTGCTCGGGGTCGAGGGGAGCCGGGACGGGACCCGGACGCAGCACCGGCCGCCTGCTGAGAGCCGCGGAGGCGGGATGCGGACCGGGATGCGGGACCGGCCACCTGCTCGGGGTCGGGCTGGGGGGCTCCCCCTCCCAGGGCTGCCGCGGCGACGCGCCGGAGGAGGCAGCCGATCAGCTCGGCACGGGGGTGCTCGGCGAGCACTGTCGGGGCGCGCGGAGGCCGAGTCCTGGGGCAGCCCCGGAGGCGCGCCCCGGGCTCGCGCGGTCTCGGCATCCCGGCTTGGGGCGGAGGCCGCCGCCCCCGGTGGTCCCTGGGCAGGTGGGACCCCGCCCCGAGCCTTTGGCCCTCCCGCAGGGGCGCGCGGGGTCGGGGCCCAGGGGCGCCCGCGTAGGTGCCCAGGGACCCGGTTCTCGAGCCTCCCGGCCGCTCCGCCAGGCACTCCTCCCGCCACTGCTCAAGGTAAGAAAGTTTTCCCTGCCCTGGGATCGATAAGTGATGAGCGGCCGGTTCTGTGGGCTCCTGGAGGCGAGAGCCTGGAGGGCGCGCACGCCCTTCGCGGGAGCCCGGCTGGCATTTCCCGCAGAGCCTCTCCCGCAGAGCATCCCCCCTAGAGCATCCCCCGTAGAGCATCCCCCGTAGAGCATCTCCCATCGAGCATCCTCCTTAGAGCATCCCCCTCAGAGCATCATCTCCCCCAGAGCATCCCCCGTAGAGCAGATTCGGCAGCGCATCCCCCGTCGGCTGTATCTTTAGGCTTCGGTCCTCCAAGTGCAAACCCTTCAACAGGTGGGAAGGGGTCTGAGAAGAGAGGCTTGCTTGTGAGGGTTTTGTTACTGGTACCTGCCGTTTTTATTGTGGTATTGGCCGGTCCATCCCGGTCCAGGTAAATTGTTGACTGTTAATCGAATCAGCGGGGGTCGGGGTGGGGGCATTCCTAGCATGTGGAATGTGGAACTCAGTTCTTTTCCGTGGGAGGAGAGTTTCCCTGTTGGCTCTTCTCAGAGATTTGGGACAAGGTTTGGCTCTGTCCACACCTGTGGATCCCATAGCCGCTTAAATAGACCCTGGCCCGTGGACTGGCCGGCTCGGTACAGCTTGCACTGAAACCGGGGTGGACGCCTTGGGAGGCCCCAGTTCAGAATTCAAGGACAAGTAATTTCTAGCTCTCTATGTGGAGAGTTTGCCCACATAACCCCAAATGTATTTTAAAACAACCTTCCAATGAATATGATGCTTGAAAGAGTGATTCGGATTTGGAGTATTATTGTGCAAACGTAGGAAATCAGTGTTTCATTCCTCCCCTCAGCCAGGACCTGTAGAAGGTTTGGCATTTCTCAGCAGTCTGCTTAAAGATTTAGTTAAAAATAAAGCATGTGACACAACGGCATTCGATAATTGTCTTCCATTTCACAGAGAGATGTGGCTTAAGAGAATGGGAAATGTGCTGTTTTTAGCCATTTTCTACTTGGAAATCAATGTGTCTCTTTATTTTGCTGATCTGTCCCACTGTGTATAAATGCAAAATCGGTTCTAGTTTCACTGCTCCCCTGAGTGATTCCTGTGGAGGCAAGAGGAGAGAATATTTCTAGAGGAAATATGTTATTAATAAAATGTTAGGCCCCAAAGAGTTAATCCGAGTGAGGCTTTACTAATTAGGGTGATTAAAAAAAATTGCCTGGCATGATAGGAAACTGTTCAGATGGCATCTGAAGAATACATCGTTATGTTGAAAGGAGCCATTGATTTTAAGCTTTTTTGGTTCATTTAGAAGTTTGGGCCCTCTTCTGCTTCTACCGTTTAATAACGAAAATGAACAACAACCTCCCAAAACAAAAACGATAAAAAGTGATATACATGTCACCTGATGAGTATCTTTATTAAGTTAAATTCATCTATTCCTCTGAACAGCGCTTCTTAACTCGTGGCAACCTTTATTGATCACTCTCAACACTGTTACTTAGCTTATAAATTCAAAATCATTCACATTAAAAAATAATGCGTGGACCTTTAATATGTTAATTTTCAGTCGTTTTTGAACTTAAGAACACAAAGGGCTAAGTTCTTTTTGTTAACTTTATTTTTTAATATTCATTCGTCTGTGGTACATAGAATAGCTGGACAATGAAGTGCTTTGTAGTACAGGGGAATGCCGAGATCACCCTTTGTCTTAATGCTTAACCCCAGTTTGTGTTTTCTCTCCCTGAGAAGAGTCATTTTGCCCTTTGTGCTTTGGGACACTCTCTGTCCCAGGCTGATCCACGTACACCATGACTTTCACAAGCTGTCAGATGATGAGGTATTGAAAATAGTCTAGTGACTCGGTACTCTTGACTGTTTTACACCAGTGGTTTAATAGGCTGTATCCTAGATGCCTTTAATTGAGTTTCGCATTTAAGTAGTGGAAATGGTACTTGATGAATTATTTGCTTACAGAAACGATACTCATTCTCTTTGGAGCATCGATGGGAAGACAGGAATTGTCACATTCATAATACCCGCATCGGCGTGTCCCCAAGAGGCCTTGTTCATGTTAGCTGTCCAATAAGTAGACGAATTGGTTTGTGGGTGATCCTTAGCCAAAGGTTAGACATTTCTGAATGCTAATGTGGTTATTTAACTAGGAGCAATTCCAGTTTAAATCTGATGGTGTACTTCAGAGCACTAAAAAAACGCTTATTAAATATGAGCATGTGTTCAGAGGGGAAATCTCTTTCCATCCCCCCCCCCCCCATCACTTCTCTTCATGTCGCAGTGTCCGGGCTTGCAGACCCACCTGGCTGTGATGCTCTCATGCAGGGGTGCTCTGGAAGGCTGCCCCTTGCATCGTGGTGCCTCCTAGGGTGACATTCCTAGTCATACACTCGCACAATGCTCACTGGGGTCCTGCTGCTCAGTCCTGGTGCTCGTGTGCCCTCTTCTGCTGGCATGGAGGCTGGAGACCACACCCCCTTCTTGTGGCATGGTACCAGGGACCCCAGAAATTAGCACTTGTAGGCATAGAGACCCAGCGCGGTCATGCTGAGCACACGTGACAGCACCACTGGTTCACTGTGTGCGCGGAGCTCGTGCCGTAGCCACCCAGCTGGCCCTCCAGACCCAAAGGGCTCGGAATCTTTTGAAAAATTGCTTAGTTTTACATTTTTTATTGATTGATTTTCTGTTATTTACAATACTGTTAATAACAGCTTCTCATCACGTGATTCTAGCACTGCACCCATCCCTAGTGTACCCACTTCCCTCCTCTAAGAACTCTTCCAGCCTCCCCCTAACTCAGTTGTGAGCTTCAGTCCTGTTGTGTTGGCTTAGGCCCTTTGCCACCTTGCTTTGTGTTTTTAAATCACACATGTGAGAAATCATTCTCAGTTGCGTGTGTGTGTGCGTGTGTGTTTGTGAGAGAGACCCAGGTCGCATGCATGAAACCCTGCTCTTACCATCGAGTCACATGCTCTGTCCCATTAATGGGGTTGTTAGTCTCACCTGAACTCTTTGCAATCGAGGACTGCTTGGCATCTTCAGCGAACTAATTTCTTGGGCAAAGTTTTCCCAAGAGACTACTTGAACGTTTGTGGGTCACCGGACAATTTTCTTTTGATGATTCAGAATAGAAGCTACGTACTTAACCTTGTGCGCAGGTGTGAGAAGCAGTGTATCGAAAATGGAAGAGGCTAAGCATGGGGCCTCAAACTTGGCAATGTCCACACCATGATGGGGTCTGGTGGATGGGTTGAAACTTGAGGTTCTGCGTTTCTTAACAATCTCCCACGTACTCCTGATGCTTTCATTCATTAGCAAACGTTCTGAAGCCCACTTTGTTCCATTTAGCACATGCTTCTTGGGCATCTGTATGCCGTAGGCCCCTAGGACAGAAAAATCATGAAGTTGGGTGATTTCTTAAGGAACAAAGAAAGGAAGAGTGACGGAGGGGAGACACACAATGACAGAAGGACTAAAAGCAAGGTACTGGCATTCCAAAAGAACAAAACAACCAGTGCTGGCACAGATGTGGGTCTGATCCAGCCTTTTTGGAAAACAATGTGGACATTCTTCAAAAACCTAGAAGTTGAGCTCCCAATTGACCCAGTGATACCACTTCTAGGAATATACCCTGACGGCTCAGAACACACAGCAGAAACATCATCTTCACTCCTGGCGCTGTTCACAGTAGCCAGGATCTGGAAACAACTCCAGCGCCCGAGTACAGATGACTGGATAAAGAAACTATGGTTCATCTACACAACAGAATACTAAGCAGTTGTTAGGAAAAATGAAGCCATAAAATTCATGTATTAATGGATGGATATGGAAAATGTCATGCAGAGTGAAATGAGTCAGAAGGAGAAGGACATATATAGAATGACTGCATTTTTTTTTTTGCTTCACTGTGAGATACAGTTACAAAGCTTTCATGTTTGAGTTTCAGTCATACAGTGATCAAACACCCAGCCCTTCACCAGTGCACATTTTCCACCACCAATGTCCTTAGTATCCCTGCCCCCCATCCCACCCCTCCTCTTGCCTCTATGGCAGACAACTTTCCCCATACTCTCTCTCTACTTTGGGGCATCATGGTTTGCGATACAGTTACTGAGAGGCTAGCACGTTTGGTCCTTTATCCACTTTCAGCACACATCTCCCATCCCGACTATCCCTCCAGCCATCATTTACTTAGTGATCCCTTCACTCTCCCAGCTGCCTTCTCCCCAGCTCATGAGACAGCTTCCAACCATGGAGCAATATTCTAGCCTTTGTGTCTACTGTCCTTGGGTGTCAGTCTTATTTATGTTATTTTATATTCCACAAATAAATGCAGTCATTCTATATCTGTCCCCCTCTCTCTGACTC